CTATGTAAGTTTGTTGTTAAGAGATGAGAATTGCCACCACCTTTCAGTAAGTTGTTCCAGCAAAACTCTGAACAAGGGTATGCAGGCAGAACAGTGTATTTTCCACCTTCTTCGAAAATCCAATCACTAAAACGATCCAAAAAAAAGGGGTCATCGTTTTTGGTTATAAACATGACCGCAGCCGGAGGTGGATTCTCAGTTTCCCACCAAAGAAATTCAAAATGAAACTTAGATGCACCGAAGTGGGTGTGTTTCACTATAATTCCAGAGGAATCCATGGCTTTGACGTGGAGAGGTGGGACGCGCATTATGTTGCCCATGGCAAAGATGGTCACATCTTCAAAGTCATGAGACTTCTTCAAAGCCGATTCTATCATCGGTCGGACACAACGAGGGTCTACACTATCGGGAACCCGACAGCTTTCCAGGTCCAACCACACCGCCGCCTTCTTAGGCTCCATCGAGAAATTTTCACAAATCGAATCGGAGTTAGGTCTTTAATCTTCTTTCCCAAGGCAAACATCTTCCGAGTTATGAAAGTTAATGGGCTTAATTTTATATATGGCCCATTTGTCACGTAAATGGCTCCCTGGTCCTTTTATGTTTATGTTTTAGTTGGGTTTTTTTAAATATTTATTAGAGCACAATAATATATTTCTAAATTCGCGATTCACATGAAAGCCAACGACATGTCTTTCCTTCTCTCGATCCTCTTCGCCGTCGTGTTCGTCGGACTTCTCAACTAGTATTGTTATTATTCGGTTCGAATAAATTTGTTAATTTTCATATTTCATATATTTCTAAAAAACATTCGATTTAATTACAATATCAACTTGAATATGACTGTATAAGTTTTGTAATATGTAATCTAACTTAGTGTTTCACTAACTTGAACTTTGAATACAACCGTGTTCACAAACTTTGGCAAAATAGACATGAATTTTTAGTATGCTTATCCGTATATTAACGCGCATCCTAATTTAATAATTAATAAAAAATCATAGACAAAATGATATTTACCTCATTTTTTCCTTCTTTCTAAATTTCTTGCAGTTTTCGTTTTCTTCATTGATCTTTCTTAGCCGAATTAACAATATGACTGAATTAAAGTATATTTTCACCTCAATGCCAAACTTGATATCCCATTAATTAACTCCAACATGATTGTAATGATTTTCTCCTCCTAGATTTAAAAAAAGAAAAAAAACTTAATATTCTCTTATTTCATGGGCCAACTTAAACTTCGATCTGCACTGACTGATAAAAATTATGAAGGGGGTGAAATTATAAAGATAATTTTTATAATGATTTTTATAGTACTAATAAATAAAGCCCATGTTTTACAATTTTGCTTAGGACCATGTAATCTTTGGACCAACCTAGTACATACGACCGCTTATGTAGTGATGGTATGGAACAAAGAAAAACAAGAGAATGTGGAAGGAGAATCAAATC